ATGACAAACATGGAGGCTAAAAGGAAGCCCCTGGTTGCTCAGGATGAGAGTTTAAAAGCAAATGCACTGAACAAATTTTATATGCGTTTTGAATCTGATAAAAATAGGGACTGCTGTGATGTTTTAGATAATGTAAACTGTAATGTGAAGTACAGGATTTTTATAGATCCACATGCGGTAACCAAGGTTTTTAAATCAATGTACTTGAAAAAAGCGACGGGGCCAGATAATATGTCCACTTTTCTCTTAAAGACATTTGCAGAGGAATTGTCTCCGGTATGGCACCAGTTGTTCCAACTTTCTATTGATACACATGTTGTACCTGAGATTTGGAAAGAGTCCGCTATAATTCCAGTCCCAAAAAAGGCATGTCCTCAGGAGGACAACGATTATAGACCAGCTGCATTAACTTCCAATGTCTTCAAGGGCCTGGATCGACTTATGGTAAATGTTCTTCGCTCGGAGGTGGAGCCAGTATTAGACAAATATCAGTTTGCATATACAAAGAATCGAAGTACAAGTGATGCCATATCAACTATAATGCACCTTATACTGAAGCACCTTGAAACCCCAGGGGCATATGCTAGACTGCTCCTTATTGATTTTAGCTCTGCTTTTAATACAATTCAGCCACATATTCTCATAAGAAAATTAGCCCTTCTGAATGTAAATCCATTTTTAATCAAGTGGTACCACTCATTCCTTACTAAGAGGCCACAGCAGGTGAAGTTTAATTCCTCCTTATCAAACATAAAAATATGTAGTACGGGTGCCCCTCAGGGATGTGTCAGTTCACCATTTCTGTTTATTCTGTATACAAATGACTGTGTTAGTTCTGAGCCTAATCAATATGTGGTGAAGTTTTATGATGATACAGCTGTTCTTAGTCTGCTCACTAAGAACTCTGATTCATCCATTCACAGAGATGCTGTGGACAGGTTTGTGGACTGGTGCGACAATCATAAACTACAGATTAACACCTGTAAGACCGTAGAAATGGTCTTTGATCCCAAATCAATTGCTGACCGAAGCCCTGTGACCATACATGGCAATAACATTAATCAGCAAAATTCATGCAAGTACTTAGGCATTCACATTGACAGTGACTTGAGCTGGCAGACACAGGCAGCCAATGTCTGCGTTAGAATCCACCAGCGCCTCCACTTTTTACGCAGACTGCGGTTGTTTGGTGTCAGTAAAAACATAATGTTAATATTCTATAGGGCAGCAATAGAGTCCATTTTAAGGTATGGTATCACCAGTTGGTTTGGTAATTTGAGTGTCAAACTTAAATCGCAGATTCTCAACCTGGTCAGAGTAGCGGGCAGGATTATGGGGATTATTATGGGTTATTAATGTAGGATTAATGTTAACGCTACCTCCGGTTGAGTGGCCTGACTTCTACACCTACCTGATAGAGAAACGGAGGGCATATAAATCTTTAAATGCCTATAACTATGTGCTGAATGGCATGTACAAGTTGTGTGGTACGATCCGCAGTTCTGCCTAGCCAGCGCCATGAAGACGACAATGTAAAGAGGGACATTACGGTGCAATTTTAATGAGGTGAATATTTTCTAGAAATAAAAAATTGCAGATAAAGCATATGAATGTTTCATTGATTCTTGCACCCAACAACACAACAAGATGACATTTAATAATAAGAAGAATAATTTAAGATCCTTATTTTGTAGCCGTATCTGTGCTGGTTTGTATTTGCCGCCTCCAGTTTTCCCTTTGTTCTGCCACCAGCTAGCGCCGTGACGCAACTGTGACATCGGCTGGAAATTGGTCTATAGAACTGCCACTTTCTGTCACCAGGCAGGCTCCGCCCACAAAACACATCATCACTGCAGATGAGCCGCGGCTGTTCATGAAGCCAGTCTTTAGTTTGTACGGGTAAGTTTGAGGTTAGTTGAGCAAATCTAAGAAGAAAGACCCAAGGTCTAGCCAGGACCAAGGAACAGGACCGTAGCACAGAAAGTTTTAAATTATCTTTATTACAAAATGACTAACGTTTCAACGCCCATGCGTCTTCTTCAGAGTCAAACAATCAATGGCAAAGACCTACAAGAACTTTGAGCAAACTCTGTTTTTGAGGCTCAAGAAGTTGGTTTGGTTTTTAGCGATTTCGTCGTCATGGTGGCGGTTAGAGATCAAAACTGGACCAATCAGCTGTGAGTAAAGTGACATGTATCTGATGCAATAAAGCCACGCCCCCTGTATAACTCACTCCAAATTAAAGCAGTTTATAGTAAAAAAAAAAAATCATATAATTCATATATGTATTCATATAATTATTATATTCATTGGCAATTAATATTAAACTTTGCATTTAAATTAAAGGTGCAGTGTGTGATTTTTAGCGACATCTAGCAGTTCGGATGCGAGTTGCACTAATAGCTCCGCCCACTGCTCACCCCTCCCTTTCGAAGAAGCTACGGTGGCTCAAACGGGACAAACATATCGTCGTCTGAGACAGCAGAGAATAGGCAGAGTAAGCCAGTGTGTAACACTGTCACTGTTTCTGTACCACAGTCCATTATAAACCACATCATGGATAAAGTTTACAAAGCCATAGTCAGGTGAGGATCAAGGGTCTTAATATATAATATAATAATAGTAATCAGCTGATTGTCTCACGAGCGTAACCAGCACATTCTCTCCACATAGCAAACCCATAATACAGCGAGGGAGAAGAACCACATGAAACTATGCAACTATAAATGTTTTCTAACAGGGTAGTAAAAGTTTAGCTGGCTAATATGCGCTGTTACTGTGGCTGAGCTGGTTAAAGCATTAAGCCTTGTTTAAACCTGACGCGTCCGCATGAGCTCAAAGGTGCGCGCGGCAGAAAGGACGTGATTGTAACAGCGCGCGCGCCTCCGCATCCCCTAGACACCATTTACAATAGGCTTTTCATCTCTGATTTTGAAAACTCTTCGCGATCGACTTAAAATGCTTCCAAGATGGACTTGTCGACCGCGATCGACGGGTTGGTGATTCCTGTAACTGTTTTACGGTCAATGACAAGAGTACTAATCAGCTGTCTCACGAACGTAACCAGCACATTTATCCCTACATGGCAAAGCCATAACACAGTGAGGGAGAAGAACTAAGTTACATGAAACAGTCCAACTACATATTTTACACCACTGACAAGGGAAAAGTCACTACTCACGGTGTTTATGGCTAGCTTCTAGCTTTCTGCGGCTTCTCTTTCAAGGTAGTGACGAAACGCGCTCTGTAGCGCTGTGTGTTCGCTGTGTGTTCGCGTTCGGCTACGGTAGAAACATGACGTCACATGTCGACCTTCATAGAAGGGGGTGCCCGCGGTTATGTAGATATAAATGCCTCATTCTAAGGTAATAAAAACATTACGGTTTATTAAAGTCCCCGTGAACCGGAAGTTGCAAACGACTTTTCTCCAGTGTTGTGACGTATTTACGAGAGAAACGGAATACTAAATGAGGCAAAAATAGTGGGCGTGGCTTTTTTTCCAACTCGCACCTGATTGGATCTAGAAAAGTAGGTGTTGTCATTCAGCCTGTCTGCTGTCAGTTGGAGGGGCGTGGTTACGGATGTTAAGCAGACAACCGTGAAACCTACGTCATCAGGGAAGGTCCTCCAACGCAGAGGGGAGGGGAAATTTCAGATTTTGATTAAAGATTACGAAGCCAAAAAATATTTTTGTGTGGATTGACTTGCATGGATGAATTGTTCACCACAAAACGATCAATTTAGACAAACAAAGTAAGTATGGTCAATTTTGAATTCATGGGGACTTTAAGTAAGTTCTTTATACACCACTGAACACATAGTTATGGATGTCATATTGCATTTCTGTTAATAGATACTCAAAAATTTTACACATTGCACCTTTAATATAAATATATAAATAGAAGCTTTAATATATAAACCAATTAAGCTTGCTTGTTTTCTTATATATATATATATATATATATATATATATATAGCCGCTCTGGAGAAAACCGTGATGTCATCGTCCAGCTCAGTTCTGTTCTCATATAATGCTGTCAATGCAGGAGATCAATAATATTGTTGAATGTCCACAACTAAGCAGCCAAAAGCCAAAGTCGACAGTGGAACCGAAACTCCATCAGAGCAGAATGGAGAAAACCCCTGTGAGAACCCAGACCCAGTCGCTCAGTTCTCCTCTGGCCAACGAGCCAACAGTGTATGTTATGATTCTTTGTAAACCTATATAAATGAATATTTAAATTCAGTCAGATACTTTCTTTCAGCTGCTTCTCAAACTCTGGCTGCAGCAGCAGTGTTCATTCCTGGGATGTAAATGCATTTAATTTCATGATATTTTTTCATTATGATCTTAATCTTCAGAAGAGACGTGAATAGCGCCGTCTCTCGCAGGAAGTTATCCATACTGACGCTCTCCGTGCTCCGTGTGATTGGCTGTTTGCCGCACATGTGACGCTTTCAGCTGCCCGTGCTTCAGAGTTCATCACACACTCTGGATTAAACCCGAGTTGACAGAGCGTTTACACCGAGCGCTGCGAGACCGCTGAACCTCATCTAAACCATACCTGTCAACACTCCCGTTTTTCCCGGGTTTCTCCCGTTTTTTAGCCCTATCTCCCGGACCCCTCCCGGTTTGTTATTTCTCCCGGGAAAGTCCCGTAATTTGCATTGCCCAAACTCCTTCATGAATAATCGGACCAATATGTTTGTCTAATGTTGATAAGTTGCCAGAAATGCTAAATATTCACACAATCCACACACAATTTCAACCCGTTTGTCACCTATAACCCAGTTGCGCAGTCGCGGAAAGTTTAACCCGAAAGCGAGCCGATAGACATGGTGGAGGCTTTGTCTTACCTCTTTAACGGTCTCCGCACAAATCTCCCGGATTTTGAAAACCAAATGTTGACAGGTATGATCTAAACCAGGTTGGATTTGTTTGGTTTGTCGTCTCTAAACCCACTACGATTTTGCTCAATAGCTTCACGCAGCAGGCCTCAGATGTTTGGTGGTTATGAGCATATTAGTGTGCATGTAAACATCTAAATACAAAACAACAATGTTTAACCACGCAATCTAAGTTCTGAGAAGAGCAATGTTCAGCACAATACACATACCTCTTTATGGCCTTGTAGAAGATGAAGACAGTCAGGAACAGGAAGACAGTTAAAGCGCTCCCTGTCGACCCGATCACGATGATGTCCGTCCACCAGGAGCTCAACAGAGGAGCAGGAGCCTCCGGAGCTGAAACACACACAGAAAACAGCAGTGTGTGTGCATCATTCACTGCGCTACCTTAAGGTATTTATTCTGGCACACGTAATGTATTTTACTTCAAAAACACAAGTTGAAAATATTTATCTATTAAATCTTGATCTAACTTTGAAGACGGTTCTTTTGTGAGTAAAAAGCTGAAGACAAATGGCAAAATGCTCCAGTTTGTAATGCAGATGAACTCAGAGATTATTTGTGTTTAGTGTCCATTAAACAATATGCAGAACCGATAATTATTTAATGTTTAACTTTTGTTTTCATTCGATTTCATCATATCACAACAATAGCTATTTCGATTACAATTCCGATTCTTATCGATTCCAATATGGTAAGAAAAGTCAAACATAGATGAACATGTTTATTCTGTCTTTTCGCAAAACATTCTGCAACTGAATACCATGAACAAAAATCAAAAATCAAAAAAATAACTATTAAACTAGACTAACTCGCTTCATGCATTATTAAAGACATACAATAAGTAATACAATAAGAACCAATAAGCAAATTAGCAAAAGCACAAATAAATACAACTGAACAAAGTTCAGAAATTGAAATCAAGCGTAAAATAACCCTGCTTAGTTCTCTGTTTATAAATAAGATTAATCCTTATTAAAGTTACAAAAGTTATTCAGTCAAGATCAGTGAGTGATTTTCTCTTTTTCTTTTGTAGTTGATTAACAGTAAAGACAGACAGCCACAGGTTTATTATTAGGCTGCTGTCCCTTTAAGATTAATGCACTGATCCAATATACTCATACACATGTGTTTTCTCTCTCAACTGTTTACGTTCACTTAAACATAACAGACTGTTTACATGGGTATTTTGACATAATTGTGTGTGTATTTGTCTGTTCAAGCACAATAAGACGCGTAAGAGAACTCATTTCAGTACTCGTGCACAACATGAGCTCTGGATGTGACCAGCACAGAACACATCGCGAGTGCCCAACTGAGTTCTCTCTCGCATATTCTTGTGCTTGAATGGTTTAAAACCACATTAAAATGCGCACACAGGAATTGATAATCGGAATAGAAATGTTCATTTTATAACAAATATCCGGTTACTGACCAGAACAGTATCTGATTCCAGAACTGGAATCGATTTTAAATTCCCAACCGTTAAGTTTATAACAACAACGGCAGCAGCAGAAACAATATTAACTATAGGTTACAGTTTAAAAACTATTACACTATAAGAAAATTAACAACTACAGTTTAAAAAAAGGCTGCAAAAAGGTAAGACTGTAACGGTCTGTTCCTTCTCTTATGTTGTGTTCCTTTGTTCCGTATGTATCATTTGTTGCCATGGTTTTTGATTAGTTATTCGCCTGTGTCCTGTTAATTATAGTTTCATTTATTTAAGCCTGTGTCTCCAGTTCATTTTGAATATTGAAGGTTAGTTTGTGTTTCTCTTGTGTAGTTCTCCAGTGTCAGAGTGTTTTGTGTTACTGCTGCAAACAGATCCTCTATTTGCGTCATTGTAGAACCAACCTGTGACAAAAAACATCTGTAGTGTATTGAGTGTTGGACGGAAACCCAACAATAAGCATTAGTTGGCATATAGAGATTAACTTTGGTTAAAGATTTGGTTGGACATTCTTGTCTCTAATATCTGAGGAAAAGCAGAAATAAGAAAAGCCCACTGACTCTTTTGTTTTACGAGAAATAATTATACAAACACAACAACTATAGAGCAACAAAATAAGGTAAGTAACTAATAAAACGGTAAATGCATTACATTAGAGACCATTTCCAGAGTCACAATTTTTATTGTGTAATAATTAGTGCTGTCAAACTATAAAAATATTTAATCGCGATTAATCGCATTAATGTCGTAGTTAACTCGCGATTAATCGCAATTAATTGCACATTTTTATCTATTCTAAATGTCTCTTGATTTCTTTTTGTCCCATTATTTTTTCTCATTTTAATGCTCTTATCAACATGGAAAAGTGGATCGGCTTGCTTTGTGCAAATGTTTTTTAGTGAAAACAACACTGGCATATACTGTGTTCAATTTCACACTAACATTCTCACTTGGAGCAAATAATCTCTCACACAATGTAACACTGTCCATCAATAAAAGGGTGAAATAAATACTGACGAGGTCCTGATATTGACGAGGGGGGGGGGAGACTTCGCATCAGCTCTGTGTGTGTGTGTGTGTGTGTGTGTGTGTGTGTGTGTGCTTGGCCATCAAGTGGTGTTTCAGACTGGACGTGCTGCGATGATGATAGCTCAGGTCACAACGACAAAACACACAGATCACTTTGGTCGCGTCAATGGAACCATTTGGCAACTTTTTAAAAGTAAACTTTCCATTCAGAATCTTATTGGCATCCATTTCGGCGTCTCGCGCTCGTCATCCACTCAAAACGTAACGTTAACCTACTATTTGGCCGGCTCGCAAACCCAAACAAGTGTGTGCGGCGTGCCTGTTGTCTTGTTTCCGGTCTAGCTAGATCCGCTTGCGCTTTGGTCGACGAAGCAACAAAACGTCCTCGCGCGGCGCAAGCCATTGAAATGAATGGGTTTCATAGCGCAGCGCCGCGCACGCCGCATCCTGTTGCAAAAGCATGTGAAAAAAACCTACAAAGTTTGCTAGGTCAAAAAGACCGTTAATCGCGCGATAAAAAAATTAACGCCGTTAAAATGGGTTTGCGTTAACGCCGTTAATAACGCGTTTAACTGACAGCCCTAGTAATAATGTGTATTTTGCCCCAATTTCGATACTGCAATCACTCACCATTCAATTCCACACAGACAAAATCAATACCTGTCCTACATTTGTTCTTGTTCCAGAAGTGTTTCACTTGGATATACGGCACAATAGAGGAGAAAAGACCAGCTTAACTTCTGTTTCATGCCAACTTTAAAAAGTACAATGAAAGCAGCCCATCCACTGTGTTCTGAAGTCTCCTAAAGTCATATAATAGCTTTGTGTGAGTAATATTTCACAGAAACTTCTCTAATTGTTAGGGTTAGGGTTACTTCTCTAACGAGTGTGCAAACACATCAATGGCCCTTTGTGTGTTTCATCAGTGAACAGGAGTAAAGGAGCTCCAAGGGTATTCAGTGAAATCGAGACAGTGTGGGACAAAGCTATGAATTTGAAACATACATGTATATATCAGTGGCATGCACAGATCTCCACTGGGACACCGTGACTGAAAGGTACTTTACTATTAGCCATTAAAGGGGCAGGAGCTACTGCTGTATATAATATCTTTATCATATGAACTCCTGCTTAATCCCTTATCTGAATGCCAATCTCCACCTGGGCTTTGGAAGAAGAGCCCTGAGAGTGCTGTGCGGGCGGAGGAGGAGGAGGAGCCCTGAGAGTGCTGTACCTTACCCATAGAGAGCAGTGCGGGAGGAGGAGGCGGAGGAAGAGGAGGAGGAGGAGGAGGCAGGGGCGGGTACAGCCGACGGTGGCACAACATCTGGTGACCTTCACCTCCTCTGTTCATGTCATGCTGTGAGCAAAATGACTGGAACTCTGCCTATAAGAAAGAGAAGAGAGATGAGAGGAAGCCACTGCAGTGACTGATGCCATTTATCCAACTCATTACAGGCTTTTCACATCATTAGTCTCGTGTATACTACATTTACCCGAGGCTGCAAAGTCGACTCCGTGTTACAAATATGTTAGACCTATCACTTCTGCCACTAAAGATTGCTTTATAAATAATCTTCCTGATCAGTTTCACCATCTCAGCATCCCAGATAGCCTAGAAGAACTTTATATTGCAACAGAAACTTTTAACTCTCTCTTTTCCAGCACTTTAGACGCAGTTGCTCCTTTGCGCTTAAAGAAGATTAAAGAAAATAGTCCAACGCCGTGGTACAACGAGCACACCCAGGCCCTTAAGAGAGCAGCCAGAAAAATGGAGCGCAACTGGTAAAAAAATTAAATTAGATTTTCGCATTTCGTGGAGAGAGAGTACGGTTGCATACAAAAAGGCATTAAAAGCTGCTAGATCTGCTTATTTTTCAACCCTATTAGAAGAAAACAAACACAACCCTAGGTATTTATTAGATTCAGTAGTTAAACTAACAAGAAATAAAGCTTCTACTTCTGAAGTTTCCAAACAGCACAGCAGTAATGAATTTATGAACTTCTTTACTTGCAAGTTTGATAATATTAGGGAGAAAATTATAACTATGCAACCGTCTACTACAGTATCACATCAGGGAGTGCATTGTAGTCTCCCTGAGGAAAAATTCCATTAATTCATTGCTATAGGAGAGGAAGAATTTTCTAAACTCGTTTAATCATCTCAATTGACAACAATATGTTAGACCCTATACCAACTACGCTATTGAAAGAGATGCTTCCAGAGGTCATAGATCCTCTCCTAAATATCATTAATTCATCTTTGTCACTAGGATACGTACCAAAAACTTTTAAGACAGCTCTTATTAAACCTCTTATTAAAAAAACACAACTTGATCCTAGAAAATTTGTCAATTACAGGCCAGTCTCGAATCTACCCTTTTTGTCAAAAACACTACAAAAGGCAGTAACTATGTTCCTTTTTAGAAATAAATGGTATCTGCGAAGATTTCAGGGATTTAGGATTTCAGGATTTAGACCGTACCATAGTACTGAGACAGCTCTCATTAGAGTTACAAATCATCTGCTCTTATCATCCGATCGTGGTTGTATCTCTCTATTAGTGTTACTCGATCTTAGTGCTGCATTTGACACCATTGACCACAACATTCTTTTAAATAGACTCGAAAATTAAGTCGGCATTAGTGGAATTGCATTTGCATGGTTCAAATCATACTTATCTGACTGTTGTCAGTTTGTAGCAGTAAATGAAGAGATGTCTTATCGATCACAAGTTCAGTATGGTGTACCACAAGGCTCAGTACTAGAACCGTTGCTGTTCACTCTGTACATGCTACCCTTGGGAGATATAATTAGGAAGTATGGCATTAGTTTTCACTGTTATGCTGATGAAACTCAGCTCTATTGTCAGGATTCCACCAGAGTCACTCCTCCCACTCGTTCACTGTCTCCAGAGTTCTAATCATCATCACCTGCACCTCATCAGTTCACCTCCCTTTATATTCGACACCCCTTCACACACTCATTGTCTGGTCTCATCTCTACATGACACACAGACTCACCCATGCTATCAACCTGCTACTTACCTGCCACTTACCTGATATCCATTGGACTATCTTCATCACCCTTGCCATCGTATGCCTTCTTCAGTCTTCAACCCTTCCATGTGACTCTACATCTGCATCTGAAACAGAGACTCTTAATTATCCTGCAGCTAAGTTCCTATCTGATTACCAACTGTTTGAATACTCACCATATCTCCGTCTGCTTCTGCAATCCTGTAAATAAACACTATTTCACTTACCACCTGTCTGACTCCTGTTCCATCCGTGACATCTATATTTCTTCGCGCCCTGACGAAACTTACCAATTCACAAAATTAATGGAATGCATAGCTGATATGAAGATTTGGATGACTAGTAATTTCTTACAACTTAATTCTGAAAAAACAGAGATTCTAATTATTGGACAAAAAACATCCTCACGTAATAACCTAGAATACTGTCTAACACTTGATGGCTGCTCTGTCAAGTCTTCGTCGTCGGTTAGGAACCTGGGTGTGCTCTTTGATAACAATCTTTCATTTGAAAGACATGTTTCCAGCATCTGTAAAACCACATTCTTCCACCTTAAAAATAGATCTAAATTACGACATATGGTTTGAATTAAAAATGTGGACCAGTTAGTTCATGCGTTCATGACCTCAAGGCTAGATTATTGTAATTCTCTAATGGGTGGTTGCCCTGCATGCATAATAAACAAACTACAGCTGGTCCAAAACGCAGCAGCTCGAGTTCTTATAACCAGGAAGTATGACCATATTAGCCCTGTTCTGTCAGCACTGCATTGGCTCCCTATTAAACATTATATAAATTTTTAAATATTGCTGATTACTTACAAAGCACTTAATGGTTTAGCTCCGCAGTACTTGAGCGAGCTCTTAACGCATCATAGTCCTTCACATCTATTGTGATCTCAAAATTCCGGCCAGTAGATAATACCTAGAATATAAAAATCGACTGCTGGCGGTAGATCCTTTTACTATTTAGCACAAAAACTTTGAAATAGTCTTCCTAGCATTATTCAGTTTAAATCTAGACTAAAACACAACTCTTTAACATGGCATGCACATAGAACATTATACATTTATATTATTCAAATCAGTTAAATTATTGTTAGGCTGCATAAACTAGGTCAGCCGGAACCGGGAACACTTCCTATAACACCTAATATACAAGTTACATCATAAGAAGAATAGCATCTACGCTAATGTTAGTCTTTCTGTTTATTCCGAGGTTTACTGTAGTTAGTCTGATCCGGGCCGTATCCAGATCAGATGGTGGACCTGCGCCTAGACACAAGCACAACACATGTAGTCAGCCGGATCCGGGCCGTATCCAGATCAGATGGAGGACCTGCGCCTAGACACGACCACAACACGTAGTCAGCCGGATCCGGGCCGTATCCAGATCAGATGGAGGACCTGCGCCTAGACACGACCACAACACATGATGTAGTCAGCCGGATCCGGGCCGTATCCAGATCAGATGGTTGACCTGCGCCTAGACAAGAACACAACGTATGATGTAGTCAGACGGATCCGGTGCCGGATCCAAATCAGATGGACCTGCACCTAGACACGACCACAACGCATGATGTAGTCAGCCGGATCCGGGCCGTATCCAGATCAGATGGTGGACCTGCACCTAGATACGACCACAACGCATCCCTGAAGTGTCAGCAGAGATCGTGTCAACTAGACTCTACTCTGTGAAGGCCTCATCAACACGACAGACATCAGCACTGATCCTCAAAAAACTCGTCTCCATACCGGTGTGACTCCGATCTTCAACCAGAGGGAACTGGATAATATTCTGATTGTTCCAATCCAGTCTGACTTCTGACCTGTAATGCTGCCTGAATCATAATCATAGACTGTTTGTTCATTGGCCAGAGGAGAACTGGCCCCCCGATTGAGCCTGGTTTCTCCCAAGGTTTTTTCTCCATTCTGTCACTGATGGAGTTTTGGTTCCTTGCAACTGTCGCCTTTGGCTTTTGGCTTTTTGCTGCTTCGTTGGGGACATTTAATATTCAACAATGTTATTGATCTGCCTGCATTGACACCATTATATGAGAACAGAATTGAGCTGGAAGATGACAAAACGGTTTTCTCCGGAGCGGCTGTTTATTGTTACGGAATGAGACTCGGGCGACAGAGATGAATGCAAACAGGAAGTTTATTGACAACAACAGGGCTGGGGAACGCTGGAGATGGGGAAATCACTGGAGACGGGGAGGGAGAACGCTGGAGACGGGGAGGGAGAACGCTGGAGACGGGGAGGGAGAACGCTGGAGACGGGGAGATCGCTGGAGACGGGGAGGGAGATTGCTGGAGACGGGGAGAACACTGGAGAAGGTGAGATCGCTGGAGACGGGGAGGGAGAATGCTGGAGACGGAACACCGGAGACGGGGACGGAGAACGCTGGAGACGGGGAGGGAGATTGCTGGAGACGGGGAGAACACTGGAGACGGTGAGATCGCTGGAGACGGGGAGGGAGAATGCTGGAGACGGAACACTGGAGACGGGGACGGAGAACGCTGGAGACGGGGAGGGAGAACGCTGGAGACGGGGAGATCGCTGGAGACGGGGAGGGAGAATGCTGGAGACGGGGAGAACACTGGAGACGGTGAGATCGCTGGAGACGTGGAGGGAGAATGCTGGAGACGGAACACTGGAGACGGGGACGGAGAACGCTGGAGACGGGGAGAACGCTGGAGACGGGGAGAACGCTGGAGACGGGGAGAACGTTGGAGACGGGGAGATCGCTGGAGACGGGGAGGACACTGGAAACGGGGAGAACGCTGGAGACGGTGAGAACGTTGGAGACGGGGAGGGAGAACGCTGGAGACGGTGAGAACGTTGGAGACGGGGAGGGAGAACGCTGGAGACGGGGAGAACACTGGAGACGGGGAGGGAGAACGCTGGAGACGGTGAGAACGTTGGAGACGGGGAGGGAGAACGCTGGAGACGGTGAGAACGTTGGAGACGGGGAGAACACTGGAGACGGGGAGGGAGAACGCTGGAGACGGTGAGAACGTTGGAGACGGGGAGAACACTGGAGACGGGGAGAACGTTGGAGACGGGGAGAACGTTGGAGATGGGGAGAACACTGGAAACGGGGAGAACGCTGGAGACGGTGAGAACGTTGGAGACGGGGAGGGAGAACGCTGGAGAGGGGGAGGGAGAACGCTGGAGAGGGGGAGTGGAGAGGGGGAGGGAGAACGCTGGAGAGGGGGAGGGAGAACGCTGGAGAGGGGGAGGGAGAACGCTGGAGACAGGGAGGGAGAACGCTGGAGACAGGGAGGGAGAACGCTGGAGACGGGGAGAACGCTGGAGACAGGGAGGGAGAACGCTGGAGACGGGTAGAACTCTGGAGACAGGGAGGGAGAACGCTGGAGACGGGGAGAACGCTGGAGACAGGGAGGGAGAACGCTGGAGACGGGGAGGGAGAACGCTGGAGACAGGGAGGGAGAACGCTGGAGACGGGGAGATCGCTGGAAACGGGGAAAACGTTGGAGACGGGGAGAACGTTGGAGATGGGGAGATCGCTGGAGACGGGGAGAACACTGTAAACGGGGAGAACGCTGGAGACGGTGAGAACGTTGGAGACGGGGAGGGAGAACGCTGGAGAGGGGGAGGGAGAACGCTGGAGACGGGGAGGGAGAACGCTGGAGACGGGGAGGGAGAACGCTGGAGACGGGGAGGGAGAACGCTGGAGACAGGGAGGGAGAACACTGGAGACGGGGAGAACGCTGGAGACGGGGAGGGAGAACGCTGGAGACGGGGAGAACGCTGGAAACGGGGAGAATGCTGGAGACAGGGAGAGAGAACACTGGAGACGGAGGGAGAACGCTGGAGACGGGGAGGGAGAACGCTGGAGACGGGGAGAACGCTGGAGACGGGGAGAACGCTGGAGACGGGGAGAACGCTGGAAACGGGGAGAACGCTGGAGACGGGGAGGGAGAACACTGGAGACGGGGAGAACGCTGGAAACGGGGAGAACGCTGGAGACAGGGAGGGAGAACACTGGAGACAGGGAGGGAGAACACTGGAGACGGAGAGAACGCTGGAAACGGGGAGGGAGAACGCTGGAGACGGGGAGGGAGAACACTGGAGACAGGGAGAACGCTGGAAACGGGGAGAACACTGGAGACAGGGAGAACGCTGGAGACGGGGAGGGAGAACGCTGGAGACAGGGAGGGAGAACACTGGAGACGGGGAGGGAGAACACTGGAGACGGGGAGAACGCTGGAAACGGGGAGAACGCTGGAGACAGGGAGGGAGAACACTGGAGACGGGGAGGGAGAACACTGGAGACGGGAAGAACGCTGGAAACGGGGAGAACGCTGGAGACAGGGAGGGAGAACACTGGAGACAGGGAGGGAGAACACTGGAGACGGGGAGAACGCTGGAAACGGGGAGGGAGAACGCTGGAGACGGGGAGGGAGAACGCTGGAGACGGGGAGGGAGAACACTGGAGACGGGGAGGGAGAACGCTGGAGACGGGGAGAACACTGGAGACGGGGAGGGAGAACGCTTGAGACGGGGAGGGAGAACGCTGGAGATGGGGCGGGAGAACGCTGGAGACGGGGAGGGAGAACGCTGGAGACAGGGAGGGAGAACACTGGAGACGGGGAGGGAGAATGCTGGAGACGGGGAGGGAGAATGCTGGAGACGGGGAGGGAGAATGCTGGAGACGGGGAGAACACTGGAGACGGGGAGGGAGAACGCTGGAGACGGGGAGGGAGAACGCTGGAGATGGGGAGGGAGAACGCTGGAGACGGAACACTGGAGACGGGGACGGAGATCGCTGGAGACGGGGAGGGAGAATGCTGGAGACGGGGAGAACGCTGGAGATGGGGAGGGAGAACGCTGGAGATGGGGAGGGAGATCGCTGGAGACGGGAAGAATGCTGGAGACGGGGAGGGAGAACGCTGGAGACGGGGAGGGAGAGCACTGGAGACGGGGAGGGAGAACGTTGGAGACGGGGAGGGAGATCGCTGGAGACGGGGAGAATGCTGGAGACGGGGAGGGAGAACGCTGGAGACGGGGAGGGAGAACACTGGAGACGGGGAGGGAGAACGCTGGAGACGGGGAGGGAGAGCGCTGGAGACGGAACACTGGAGACGGGGAGGGAGAACGCTGGAGACGGGGAGAACGTTGGAGACTGGGAGGGAGAATGCTGGAGACGGGGAGATCGCTGGAGACAGAGAGAACGTTGGAGACGGGGAGAACGCTGGAAACGGGGAGGGAGAACGCTGGAGATGGGGAGGGAGAACGCTGGAGACGGAACACTGGAGACGGGGACGGAGATCGCTGGAGACGGGGAGGGAGAATGCTGGAGATGGGGAGGGAGAACGCTGGAGACGGAACACTGGAGACGGGGACGGAGATCGCTGGAGACGGGGAGAACACTGGAGACGGGGATGGAGATCCCTGGAGACGGGGAGAACGCTGGAGACGGGGAGGGAGAACGCTGGAGACGGGGAGAACACTGGAGACGGGGAGGGAGAACGCTGGAGACGGGGACGGAGATCGCTGGAGACGGGGAGAACACTGGAGACGGGGAGGGAGAACGCTGGAGACGGGGACGGAGATCGCTGGAGACGGGGAGAACACTGGAGACGGGGAGGGAGAACGCTGGAGACGGGGACGGAGATCGCTGGAGACGGGGAGAACACTGGAGACGGGGAGGGAGAACGCTGGAGACGGGGAGGGAGAACGCTGGAGATGGGGAGAACGCTGGAAACGGGGAGAACGCTGGAGACAGGGAGGGAGAACACTGGAGACAGGGAGGGAGAACACTGGAGACGAGGAGAACGCTGGAAACGGGGAGAACGCTGGAGACGTCAGGGAGATCGTGGAAGGCAAGGTGAGTAGTCCTCTTTCCAACAAATGAGACCGGACAGTGAACTGTGGTGAAGTGAGTGCTTCAGTAGTTGGAGTGATGATTGTGATGATGAGGTGCAGGTGTGTGTGATCAGGAATGACGTGCAGGTGGGAACAGAGGAGAGTGATCAGAAGTGTAGTGCAGGAACCTGGCAGACCTGTAACATTTAAATTAACTAAATTAATAACTTTTTTACAACAAAAATGAACCATCACTGAACTTACTTAAGCTGGACTGTGACACAATTTTCTTCTGGAAACAAACTTTGTTGCATTATTGTCCTGCTTTGAAACAACATGTATTGTAAAAAGCGCTGTATAAATAAAGGTGACTGGGTAATGTAGATGGTAATATGTCATGCATGCACACAACATTCAGTTTCATGGTAATGGTGCCCGTCTGGGAAAGGTTTGATCATAAGCTGATGGATAACATCTGAGAGTCAGTAACTCAAGTCTCCTTCAGCTTCAGTGGGAGGATCTGAGACATGTGTGGGAGATAATCTACAGTATGGAAACATCTCTAGGGTCTATCGCTACAGCTTTAAAACAGCTTTGGGGCTCATTAAAAAACACTTACTTCCAGTGACGTTAATAGAATGTTCATTCTAAGTTATCTGGTCTTTAATAATGTTCTCAAAACGTTAGAACAAAAACATTATTTATACACCGTTCATGGATTGTTTTTTCCCCAGAATTTCTTTTTTTAAATGTTACTACTCATTTCAGAACATTCTGAGAACATTCAAAAGTAATGTTTCCATAATGTTTGCAAACTTATAAAAATGGAATGCTCCCTTAAAGCTGCAGTGTGTAGTTTTTCCTCTTTCCTCTGTTCGAAATCTGCAATCACAGTTTTTCGCGGAATTATAAACTTTACGTGGGTTTTACATCTGTGTACCTGAGAGAACAGAAGACACAACACAGACACAGGTGTTCATCAAAGCTACTGTACCTGAGAGAACAGACACGACAGCAGACAGTGCGCGAGCACGAGAGGACACGGGGGAAATCTGAGCATCATCAGTCTAAACCTGAACAAGAACATCACAGTTACTGAAGCAGAATAACACTAACACTTTACTGACTTCAGTCGCTAATCTGTTTAATTCCATGACCAGTTATTTCACTTACCCCGCATATGAAAAGTCCATCCAATGGGGAGACTATAATCCGCGACTCGCGTCACATGACTATAAACACCTTCATCATTACTAAAGATGGTAGTCATCAATAATCGATTATCATCAGTTGTCAGAAGAGTGCACAACTCCACAGACAGAGGAATCCATCACTGCATCACTGCTGTGTATGAGGACATCTACAGTATCTGTGTGTCTCCTGTTATTATCACACACACACACACACACACACACACACACACACACACACACACACACACACACACACAGTGGTGTTATGAGAGTCTGTCAGATGAACCAGTCTCTCTCTCTCTACTCCTCTTCTCTTCTCTTCTCTTCTCTTCTCTTCTCTTCTCTTCTCTTCTCTTCTCTTCTCTTCTCTTATCTTCTCTTCTCTTCTCTTCTTCTCTTCTTCTCTTCTCTGCTCCTCTTTCTCTGGTCCTCTGCTTCTTCTCAAGAGTTGAGCCTCGCATCAATCCGGGCGAGTGGGAGGAGCTTATGACTTCATACTCTACAAACACCATTAGGCTACATAAAAAAATTAACGACTTGCTGTACGTTTGTGTGTGTGTGTGTGTGTGTGTGTGTGTGTGTGTGTGTGTGTGTGTGTGTGTGTGTGTGTGTGTGTGTGTGTGTTGTGTGCCATGAACAGAAAATCTTTTTACAGATGAAATCAGGAGAGAGGAGACCAAACTGAATCCCATCATTGTTCAAAACTTATAATGATGCTGCATGAAACAAATTAGACAATTAGTGTGCATTTTCCATTTTACAGTGATGATCAAAGAGATACTCTCAAAGAAGCACACTTGGACTAAATATTAACTAAAGATTTTAACTGATATATTTATTTAGCTTTACATGTAAGATATGCTACTAAAAGTACAAAGAGTGAGTGCGCCCTCAGGTGGCAGTGCTTAAAACTGGCAATAGAGTACATTCTTTAGGATTAAAGAGATATAAATGTTAGTTGAAACAGATATTATGATTTATGTGAACAATGAAATCTTCTGAATCGTGACATTTGTGAATAAAACTTCAACACAAAATTAGTTGCTCTGTTTCATTCAAAATTAAACTACTCTCATGATTGACTTTTTTCTTTGATTACAGTAAATTGACAGTAAAAATTTAAATTACATGGTCTATTATTTTAGCCACTAAATAAATCAAATGTAAATATTTTGCTTGTAGAATATAACTAAAACATGTCATTGTGTCACAACTGCAGTAATGTGGCCAAAAGAACATTCTTTTCTTTTAGAATTTTTAGAATTTTTTTGTCTTTGTCATTTGTGTCCCATATTTTCCCGTGTGACGTCACATATCCCACAATATCAAAACGTACTCGGTTCTTAACGTAACCTCGGTTCCCTGAGAGTAAGGGAACGAGTATTGCGTAGGTAATACGCAGTGGGGAAACTCATTTTCCTCGAAATATTGAAGCAATAATTTAAAACGCAGTGCAGTTGCACAGCGAACACAGCAGAGCTTCTAGCTCGCTCATTGGCTGTGCAGCGGCAACTGCACATCCAATGGCTGAGCGCCTCAGATGCGCGACCCAATCAACTGACTTGGTGCCGAGTACGTCAGAGCGCGCTTAAATGGACATGGCCTAAGCCTATAAAGATCACTCATTTCGGCCAATATATCAGGTTTAAATCGACTGAAGCAACTCATCCTGACAGATTGCAATAGTGAGGCAGGCTACGCAATACTCGTTCCCGTACTCTCTGGGAACCGAGGTTACGTTAGTAACTGAGTACGTTCCCTTTCAAGAACGGTCACTTCGCATTGCCTAGCTAATACGCAGTGGGGACACAATGTAAAACGCTGCACATTAGCAACTGGCTGAATCAACTGGAGCCTAAGGAACACCCCGAGGCTCAACAGAACAAGCCATAATCAGTCTCCCATTATAGTAACAATCACCAGACAGAGTCGGGTTTCATGAATAAAAACTGAGGCTCATAACCGTCCTAGGACTACTTGTGCTTATGGACAGTAACATGCTAGACATATAAAAACCAGACACCATCAGGTCAATTATCACACTGAGAGGATCCTGGCCTGTAGGCAAGGTACCTCCAGATTATAAAATCTGACATATGTGGACGGCGAGGACCAACCGGCCGCTGCACAAATGTCTTGAACTGGTACACCACTGGACCAAGCCCACGAAGAGGCCATGCTTCCCGTGGAATGGGCTTTAGCGCCTATGGAACAAACCTGGCCCACAGAGGCATATGCCAGCGAGATGGCGTCCACTATCCATCTGGATAGTCTCTGCTTCGTGATCGTAACCCCTTGGTGTGGCCGCCGAAGCAAAAAGTTCCCTGTTCTTTGAAAAGAACATTGCGCAGTGAGCCTCGACCTCTGCCCTGCCGAACACACTCCATATTAGACGAACCGTCTGTGAGTTGAGAGACCACTCGCCTGGGGGAGTGTTGTCTCGAGATAGCATGTCCGCACCCACATTTTGGACTCCGGGGACATGCGCAGCCTCCCCAACCTTGGTTGGAGTCATCTGTGAAAATTACTTTCCTCCTGGAGGCCACACCCATAATTACACCTGACTGGTACCAGTTCTGGGTTTTCCAAGGGACCAGAGCTCTCACACAGCGCTGGTTCACCATAATGTGCAGGCAGCCCAACCGCCATGCATGGGCTGGCACACAGCGCTTAGCCAGTGCTGAGGGGGGCACATATGCAGTAACCCTAGTCAGAGTACTGACGATGCGGCGGCCATGAGACCGAGAAGCCTCTGAAACCTCCTGAGGGGCGTGCGTGCACCTATCCTGAAGGAGGCTATCAGCTGTTGGATAGAGAGAGCGCGCTCTGGTGTGAGCTGCGCTCTCATCGTTACAGAGTCTATAAAAAGATTACATTCTGGCTGGGTAACAGTTTGCTCTTGGAATAATTGATCCTGAGACCCAGACATTCCAAATAGCAGAGTATCATGGATCTGTGTGTCAATAATTCGGTCCTCGGCTGAGACATAACGAGCCAATCATCGAGATAATTCAGCACGGATATTACAGATAATTGCCTCAGGGGAGAAAGCGCTGTGTCCATGCACTTCATAAACGTACAGGGGTTCGGACCGAGTGGTAGGACCGTGTATTGATGGGCCCGCCCCTTGAAGGCGAATCTCAAGAATGGCCTGTGGCTGGGCATTATCTGAATGTGAAAGTAAGCATCTTTCAGGTCCACCGTTAAAGGGACATTTCACCCATTTGCAGTAAGCTTTGTATCTTTAGAAACCCAGTCATATTCAGATCCAGGGCGTTTCCAGATCTGACTAGGACCTACGCCTGGACCGATGATAACGCAGTGCTGAAGTGCCAACTAGCCTCTCCCTATGGAGGATCCCTTTCCCACTCTACAGATAAAGCGTTGTGAAAATTAGGGTTCACGTACCAACCCCGAAGTGATAAAAATAAAATTCTGTATCAAAATTTATAGGCAAGACAAGTAGTTTGTTTAGGCATGGTTTGTAGGGAATTACAAACCTGCGCACACATATTCAAACGCACATAACTATAGAATCAGTTCTTAATGCGCATGTGAACGCCATCAGCATTTATCACAGGTTCGCATTTAAAGTCTGTTTAGAGAGAACGCCGTCCTCTTAGCGGCCCCTAATTTAATAACATATGATCATTTCAACGGAAGTGAATCAATCAAAACTAACTTTAGCTGGAAAATAACATTATTCAAGAACCGCTATAAAACCAAACCAATCTCTGTTTCCTTAAATTATAGTTGATCTCTGTAAAGCTGCTTTGAAACAATCTACATTGTTAAAAGCGCTATATAAATGAGGATGAATTGACTTGACTGACTGCGAAAGCAATCCAAAAGCACAAGAGTCGTATGCTCTCCAAACACTCCCGCAGCTCCAATCAGTCCGCGCGGCTCCGATGCATCTCGAACAAGCCTTCCCTCAACAATGGCGGTCGTTGCGTTACTATTGATGCTCATGGCTTTGCAAACCTACATCGGCATCGAAACACGGCGAATCCAGCGCGTTCGTGCAGCTCGCCATAACTTGCATAGACTGAGATTACAAACGAGCTGCTATTAGCTTGATTAGCTGCTATTTAAAAAATGGTGGTCACAACTCTCTGTTCGTCTTGTTGGTCACGGTAACCCCGCCCCCAGCCGCTGACGTAAGCGGTTCTTACTTCTAGACCAGCAATGTTTTGGTGCTACTTAAGAACCACTTTTACTGGTTCAGAGCTGGTGCTTTGGGTGTCGAAAAACAAAGAACCAATTTGAAACTAGGCTCTGGCTCCGAACCAGCACTGCCTTGGTGGAAAAGGGGTACTATAGACAATATGTGGATTCTATGGGCCAAAGGTTGCAAGAAAGCTCTCTGGAGTTGAATATTAGTAAGACGAAGAGTTTTTATTTCAGAGAAATTCCAATTTTAAATAAGTGGCCATCCCGGAAAAAATGTCGCCTGTCAATGACGCAATATCCGCTATCCTCGGTTTCCAATCATACTGCCATAGCCATGACGTAACCATGGCGACAGACGTGGACAACTGCATAGTGCGTAACGTTTAGCGGCACGCAGTTCTTGTTTCTTTCAAACAGACCATGGCAAGCAGACTTTGGGACAAACAAGGAGAACTAAAATGAGGATCAATATCAGCGTGGCGTTTTTGAGATGCCGAGAGCTAGCGTCCGCGACTAACTTGGACTTGATGGAGCTTCACGAGTCACGACTTGACAGCTTTGTTGATGTCGATCTAGCTTAACGTTACTGCTAGTTTCGTATAGCAAACAAACACGTAGTATAACATTATAACTTTCAGCACACATTTAAATGCCGTTTAGTGTGATAGTGTAACATTAGACCAAGTGAAGCAGCGCTGCGTTACCTCACAAGTTTAATCCGTCTAATAAACTGACCTGTGTGAGTAATCCAGCACTCGCGGTAGTTCGGTAGAATTAAATGTCCGTATGCCTTTATATCCGTGGGATTCACGTGTGATATCTCTTTAGCAATCGCGACCTGCTTCATACCACTGTGATGTTAAATAAAACATGAATGCGTCTCAGGTCGGGGGGGCCAAGCCAGACTGCGCCCACGCCTCAAACCCAGGACCACCTCGAGGAGCGTACCAGAGACCAGACAGACAAGAAGATTTTCTAAAAGTAACAATCTTTATTTAAATAAAAGCAAGAATTAAAAGTCTTAATACGGG